TTCAGAATTGTTTTTGAATGACTATATGGCTTAGACAATGACTCGCGGTGACCAAGCAAGATACAGGTCAGTGCTCATATCTACCCAACGAGTCTGGAACCGATCAGCCGGCCTCGAAGCTATATAAAGCTGGGTTGACCTGGCATATGTATGGGTCCGGAACCTGAATCATACGTGTGTGATAGTGCGCCTGTTTGCTAAACACCACCTCCGCCTTACCGTGAATATAGTCCATGGTACATAGAACGTGTGAATATAGTAATATAGTGAATATAGATAGCGCAGACATGTAAAAAAATTTAAACAGTATTGCATGTTCAGGTAGAAACTATGTCACACAAAGCTTGAAAAGTCCGTAGAACGCGATAAAATCAACATAAAGGGAATTCCTAGACTACAAGCAAAAAATTCGATAGATGCAATAACTTGGCCCCTTCAAAACCCGAACACTAGTCTCGCACATGAAGCGTGAACCTTACCACTGCTCCAAACCACCGCTGATGCAGCAGGTACGTTCATGTAATTTAAATTCAATTTGAGATCAGCATCTAAAATTACTGTAGCAGTACATGTTTCAATACGAACAGCCACTTCGACTTGGGATCCTTTCCTGCTAAGTCAAGTTGCAGTGAATGGGGGGATGAACCGTTTTACTCCAACACACAATACTTGACCAAAACTTCGCTCATAGCGGACTGGGCACGCACGAAGTGTGCAATAATGTTTGTGTGCATTTGATCGGAAATCTATGACTACTGTCATCCCCTGCTGGAGCGTTCAAATGTGAAGGAATGCAGGCGGCAATCTAATTCTAACACGAAAATGAGGAGAGCGGGCGTCAGCTGGACACCCGACTAGTCTATGTATACAGAGCATTTTCAGTACACATCGCAATGGTTTGAACCTTTCTAATTAGGAGAAACTTAATATTTTTATACAGTAAATCTTACCTGTAGTTATCTTCGCGTGATTGGGGAATATCGATCGATTTCGTCCTCAATCAGTCATTGTGCTTCTGTACGATCCCCCTCTTAGTATTAGAAGGGACGTCAATGCGTGGCGTTCGAAATTGCTGGAAAAATTTTACTGATCCGCTATAGCATGCTTGTTATCATTATAGTTACTTAATTTATTGCTATTAATTCATTCATTATTTCTGTGCTCTGTATTAAACTGTTTGTTCTATTCTTAACCGCTCTCTACCCTTTACGAATACTTTTTTAATTTTCCCAACGTTTTTACTTCATACCAGTTGAATCGCCCAGCACGCCGGCTCTCCTCCCTTTCGCTTCAAACTCAGTCAAGCGAATCTACCCCTTCGCTCTAATCCAGAAGAATGAGAGTTATGATCTTCCGGTCAAACACACACCGGATTATGTTATAAGGGATAGGTGGTAGTTGCGCAAGAAGAAAAGGGTTAGTAGTCTCATGGACGCATCACGTCGAAATGCGAACGCGCCTTGTCCTGAAAGGAGTCAAGCTACATAGCTGTTTCCTGTCATTTCTTACGCAATTCGTATGATTTATTTTCTTTTGCCAATTATGGTCCATTTAAGTCATCACCCCGGTGTAAAAAAATGTTGGAATAGTGCTGAGTACCGATTGGTAGAGTACTCGCATTATACAGAAGGCAAAAAAACCATCAAAATATTTGAGACAGAGTCTGAACGAATGCTGGAAGAGGAAAGCCCGTGAAAACAAAATAGAAGAACATTTGATACGAAGATTTTTTTTGAGGGAGAAAGAAGTGACTTACGGGAAGGATACTTGGTCGCAGTGACCATTCAAGATGAGATGTATACCCCCGTAGGTGGTTTCGAACGCTGACCTCGTATCTCATTCGGATCTCAAACTTGTGTTTCAACCTGCTGAACGATTTTGGGAATAAACTTACGGGACCGATGCCTCCCTGTGTTATATCACAGTAACGAACGGATCAACGAGCTGAACAAAGCCGTAACTGCGCAAAGGTGGCGCAGCTGATAGGACGGCGAGCTGGTAGGCATGACATCAAGTTCTGATTCCTTGATGCTTTTCCTTGCTCGTTTTGCTTTTCCATGAAATGCATTTTAAAAGCTTGCAAAACGTTTTGGGGCTTAAGATTGGGCATTTAATAGAGCTCTCTCACAATTTAGGATTCCGGTTACTGACTGAATATACATGTAGGACTCCCTACCCCGAACAGTCAAGATAGCGTAACGAAATCTTCGGCAGCTCCCTGCCCCACTTTTACGGTAGACGGCGGTCGAATGACTGATCCGACCACAGCCCTCTCTGGGAGGGATACGGTTCACACATTCTAGGAATACTGCCCGCGCTTCCGAAGCGGTGGTACGAGTTAACTGGCATTGTTGAAGAAATACTGTGAAACAATAGTTTATCGTTTGTGTGCACATATGATTATCCGCTAGTTATAATCTTGAGGTAAACGCTCTTTCGAGGACCCTTTGATGAGGTTCTTTGAAACCACCTCTTTCCCCCCTCCCTCTGGATGCATGTCTCACCCTCTGTAGGAGGAGGGGGGGGGGGGTTCGCTCACACTCGGTGCTCCGTTGGTCTTTTGCTTGCGCTCTATCTGTTCCAAAATTCACCCAGTCTCTGGAGGAGTTTTTCTTCAAGAGGTACGAAAGTAGTGACAAACAGACGAACATAATATAAAACGTGTGGTTTATTTATAGTGATGATATTCTATTCTATATACTATATTTCTTTATTCCCTTTTAGTCTGTTTTACCGTTCTTATTATACTATTACATGTTGGCATACGTGTCAAAGAGCATCTAGCAGTTTAAAGGCGTGGAAGCCTCTTTACGCCACTTGGGAGGCATCGATTAGAAGGACATAAAGGCAATGATTTTGATATTAAATGCAAAATCCTAGCTTACGAGAACGGGATGGGTGCTAGAAAGATCTTGGAAGCGTTGCACATCCGCGAGAGAAATCCTGAGCTGAACAACCAAAATGAGTGCATTGCCATAACAAGCGAATTCCTGCCATCCATTCCTTTATGTGGACTCTGAGAACACCGCGCAGCTCTTATCCAACGACCGTCAATGGTGTCTCATTGGTCCCTTGTTGTTCACAGAATTGAGTTGGGACGGCAGCGTTGGTGGAACCGCAGAGAGTTGATTTCTCGGTCGGAATCTTCTGGTGTTTCTGGGAGCTGTTGCAATTAGGCTAGCGCGTTTGGGCGCTTGGTCGGCTAAGCCACAGATCAGGAGCTCCTGACTGATTTCAGATTCTTAAAGACGATGAAATAGTCGAAAGGTCGACCAAGTAAAGCGTATTCTATCATAGCAAACCTGTACGGCAAAACAGTAAAAAAAATGCAACATGCCCACCTTTCAAGAAGACCGAACGTGGAAGTTGCTACGAAGGGCGTTCACAGGTGGCGGATAGGGGAGTTAATCGCCGACCAAAAGTCGCCAGTACTTGTCCGGAAACGCAGGTGGACTCAGAGGATGGATTCGCTGATTCTGCTGTGCTGGTCTATATACCCTCTGTTTCTCGCAGGCCTATCCACGCATACGCGTGTGGAAAGCCTGTACAATTGGAATCCTGCCCATCGACTCAGCCAAAAGCTTGCATTCGAGTGACTGGGAAGTATCTAGGAGGTGATCCGGGGCCGCCTCTGAAAACAAAGCCCCTCGTCCACTCTGGGATAGCCTCGCAAGCCCCCGGAGTCAATCCAGCCCACACGTCGGAGCCTGGCAAGCTACCCGTTGGGTATTCACTCGCCAAAAATAGTAAAGAAAATAGGCCTCATTTCCCTAAAGCTGTACAGGCTCCGATACTGCGGCGTTGGGGCCAATAGCGCTCGGCAAGGCTGCTCGAGTCTTTGAGCTAAAACAAGTTGCCTAAACGGAGTACTACGATGGCAATCTGTACTTTCAATGCACGGACGCTTGCATCGGAAGCGTGTATAGAGGACCTGATGATGCAAGCTAGGAAGATCAAATACGACGTCATCGGACTTACGGAAAAGTATCGCCCGCTGCAGGCTGTATTTGAAATTGGAGAACTGTTTCTAGGAAAATGCGACACCAGAGACGTCGGTGGCGTAGGTGTTCTCGTCGATACGCGTTTGGCCATGAACATCGATTCGTACAAAAGCTTAAAGGCACGGTTCACGATAAAAAAGGTTACTGAGTACTTTCTTCAGGAATACTCAGGGTAGAAGGGGTAGAAGGTACCCATGGGTGGTAGAAGGGACCCTCTCGCTCCCACAATCTCGGCGCGCAGGGCATAGTGGAAGCCCCGTCGCTGCCGTAGTTCGCTCTCCCGCCCCTCGATCGGTGTCACGTTAGACGAGTGTCGAGACAATACAGATTGCTATTATTCGTTCTAGGACCCACGCACAATCAGCTAATCGCCGAGTGATGAGGCGATGTTTTTCTCCCATTCTTTTTTCCTCGGCTTTTCTTTGCTGCCGCGATCCCTTATTTAATTTCCTACTCCTAGAGGCTGAAAAAGGTGAGCTACTTTTGCTGTTACTAGGGTTTTTTGTCTATTTATGGTTATAAGCAAATGAATTTTTGCTTACCATTGTCTGTTATTCGCACCAGGACCTACACACGCGCACAGTGAAACACACTGTTTAGCTCGTCCGGACGCCCCACTCTTCTTCATTTTTCTAGTTTCATTCTTGTCCAGACTCCTTTTTAAGGGTTTTTCGAAGCCCTTTTTCACTTTGGCGCAGTTTCTTCACCTCACCATCAGTCGCACTAGTTTCGATTTTGTCTTCCATTTTTCATCATAATCTGGATTACCCAGAATTATCGTGAACTGCGCCTTTAACAGCCCGAGTCGGACAATTGCGATTAAGTGGATGCGGATCAATCATAGCTTTAACCATCTTTGTTGCCTACGCACCAACATCAAGCATCGAAGAAGACTAGTTAGAAGCGTTCTATATGGATCTGGAGAGGCTCCACAAAGGAGACCATACCTTCTTCAAGGTCATCGTCAGCGATTTCAACGCCAAGATTGGCCCCGGAACATCATGTAAAGAGCTCTCCATCGGGGCTCTCGGAATGGAATGAAATTAGCAGGGTGAAAGACTGTCCGAGTTCATCATGTCGACCCACACCATCCATGGTAAGTCGCAGTTTCAGCTCTCTCATTTGGGATGGACATGGGAGTCACCCGGTGGCCAGTTCGATGATGAAAGAGACAATATCATCTTCAATCTGAGGTATTGACTGGTGCCGCTGTTGTTCCGAAGTTCTACACGGGATCGGGTTATCGTCTTATCCGAGCTAGATTCGCTTCTCAGTGCATGAAGGGAGAGCTACGAAGTTTAAGAAACGAAGTACTAAGAATTCATCAACTGGGACCACTTCGCTTCCTCTGCGAGTGACTGAGAAGATTTCGTTAACAAAAAAATCTATGAAGAGTACAACCGTCTCATCGAACATCCTCACGATAGTGCTAGGAATGCAGAGAGTCTACAAGTAGCCAAAGGCGGTTTTCCCGTAAGACTCGAGCTAATACGCCATCATTTTGCAAATTAGGCAACGTGACCTTCTCCGAAAAAAAGAAGGGAAAGTTGTCCATGTTATTGAGATGGAACTCGCGGTTGGTCTACAAGTACGGGGCACGATTTTCATATTGAGCTTTCTCCTAGAGTACCCTGGAACGGGAGTTCCGGTAAAATTCATGAGTGGCTGTATTATTACGCAAAGCAGTGTATAGCAGAATTATATCGTTGTCGTCTATTGATCCCAACTAATATTCCATTCCTCATTGTCTGAACGAGCCGGCACCAGCATTTGTCTAAAACAAGTATTAATTTAACGTATACACAATCATTTGCCTGTTTCCGTAGAATCCGTCGAGCACTGAACTGCTGCTCAAGTCAAATCTTTTTTCAAAGTACAATTTTATCACATTCAGATTTCGATGTTAGACAACCTTCCATCGCATATTCGTCTACGCGTCTATCAGCTAATCGAACCGAAGGTGCTCGTGAACTTTCTTTCTCTTTATTTCCTTCTTGTTGCCTCATGCGAGCTCGTTTCTCTTTCTCTGGTACACATATTATGGAACTTTTACAAAAGATGTATCAAAGAGAAATGCTGCATAAACATTATATAGACCGCAAAGATCGGTAATTCACCCAACCACCTGGAATATTAAGAAATGCCAATTGAGAAAAAAATCACTAAATTCCTAAAATTTTCAGCGACCCCTCATAATTTTTATTTTTTTCATATTACACGAATGATTCGTACCGTTTTCGAACCGATGAGCATCCGAAGAGAAGGCTCGGGCATGCACAGTCGGGCAGAAGCTCGAGTCGTTTTTGCACAGCAATCCGCTCTTTTTTACTGTAAAGCTCACGGAAAGTCCAGATTCTTTTTCAATGATGAGAGCAATTTGGTGGAATACTACGTGCGAACTACGATATTTTCATTTCTCCACCCATTAAAAAACCTTACATTGATAGAACAATCCAAAAGTGACCTAAGCAGAGAGCTGCTCATAAAGTACGCACCTTATACAGGGTCCACCGTAAATATGGTAACAGAAGAATTGGGTTGCAAAAACCGCAGTTCATATTGATAAGTGGCGAATTTAATAGGATTATTTACTAGGCATCACATCTGTAAAACGAACACATGACCATCATATATAACCGTCTCCTGTACGAATTATAGTTCAAAGATGCTGCGGCTACTCATCGACGGTGGAAAATCTTAGGCAGAGTTTTTTGAGAAACTCCAGCCTAAGATTCTTTCATTGGTTTCTTATGAGCAGCAACAGCTGTGCGTTATGAAGCGCAGGCTTTCCTCTCCAGTATGGACTATATCCAGCAACCCATCACATTGTGGTCCGGGAAATTCTCCGCAGGAATTGAAGCTGGGATAAAGTTGCGAACATTCCCTCAGCACCAGTCTTATCTTTACCCACTCGGAGGAGGTGCGTCGTAGCTATCAAATCGTATCCCTAAAAAACTCTTTGACCCTTAGCTGCATCTTTTCCAAAGGACCCTTCCTAAAGCGTTGCAGATTACATTTATACTTTTTTCGAGCAAAATTTGCGACATCGCTCCGACTGTAGAGTTTCTAGCAGAAAATACCATCAAAGAGGGAAAATGGCTATGAGAGGCGATCTGACTCTTCTCAGCGGCTTCAACAATCGCAATGTGAAATATGTGTTACTTTGCGATCTCAACATTTCTTCCACGCTGAACAACCTTTAGTCAGAAAAAAGTGTGTCGAAGCGCATATCGCGCGGAGGTAGCGCACAGCATTTTTTCTTTTCTCTCCAAACTCTTCTCGTCAACAGGCATATAGGGCTTTCGAATCTTATCTGGGTACAAGTGTATTCTCTAGGGGTAGACTCTTCTCATCGGAGTTGAACATACAAACAAATGAGCAGTCATTTTTTCGTATTTCGGCAGGTTTTGCAGCGCACTCCTTCACAAGTAATTCTATTCTCAAAAGGGGTTGTATGTGAGGCAAGACGACCGTCTTGAGGTTTGCCCCGACCTGTCTACGCATCGCGATTCAAGACACTGTCAGTACGGAAAATGTTGAAACGAGGAGCGATCCCGGAAAGAGACTCACCAAATGCGCGCAAAGATGGAGCAGCCGGTGGATGTCTGCGAGGCTCCACCGTTCTTCGAAATTTGAAGAATTGAGAGCAAAAAAGTAGATATGTAGTCTAAGGTATATCATAAACATAACGGAAGATGAAGATTTGGAGAAACCCTCCAAACAAGAAAATTTCGGACGTTCGAAAAGTTGTTACCATACTTATGGCGCACCCTGTACACGCTGTCTCTCCATAACCGTGGATGAAACACTCAAGCGAATCAAGACCAGATGAAAAAGGACACTCTTCCACTACACATTTTTTAGCTGCGTCATCGGTGTTGGGTTTCTTCCGCGCGCCTATGTGCAATTTACTTGGTACTTTGTACTGGGTATATGTTTCAATGTTGAAAATAAGGGAGCGTGATAGCGCGACGTGGAAAAAATTGTCCAAATAGGTGCAATGTTCGAGTAAGGGTGGTGATCGCAAATTGTAGCCGAAAGAGGCCTCCGACCTATATCAGTTACAGAAAGGGCTTGAAAAAGAAAGAATTGAAATTTATTCATTTGAAAGAAAAAAACTGCAAAAACTGGCTCGACAGCGGGGAGCAAACCCATCCCGTTCGCCTGAACAGGAGGAGCACTTCGAACGCGCTACAGCGACCATCGCAGCCGTTACGGGCAACTGGGCAGTTCAGTTCAATTCAACTACCTCTTCAACTTCCGAGCAAGCAAACTTTAAACGCTTACAATTTTTTTGATAGTTTGATTGCAGTTATGATTTTTGATTTTGAAGTTATGATTTTTGAATTGTGAATCGCATTCCGAACTCGATGGAAATGTAGTTGGGGGTGCCAGCGCCCTCTCGTTCTCTGCGTCTCTGACACCAGACGGCAGAGCGCATAGAGACTGCGCTAGAGCGCAGAGGTAGTTTTCAGCCTTTCAGGCCTCTTTATAGTGCTAGTGTTACGTTTCATAGCTTTTTCTACGCGACAGATATATTTTTTCACCTAAGCCTGAGAAGGTAAGGAGCTCCGAGATGGGCGATGCAAATGGATGTTCAATTCACACCCCATCTCAACATTTTGCACGGAATAACCATCGTACCCACCAAGAAGCTGTTTCCTTTTTAAGGCTTAGGGAATTTGTAACATAAAAAAGCGATAAAACGTGTCACTAGCACTATTAACCCTTTGACGACAATGCCGCCGGTGGGTGCCATAGTCCCCGGAAGAACTCCTTTCTCTGGCTCAATAATCTTAACAATCTTTCCGCAAAACAGAAGCATCAGATATTATTTTATCTCATATTAAATTGAGGCGTAGATTGCACCTCGGGTTTGCAAGTAACGTAGGTTAGAATTCAGGTAATATTGTAAGCAGTAGGAATTCGTATAACATCCAAGGAACTTGCGGATGCAGAGATTGACCTCGTGGTCACATAATCGCAAATATGGTATTCTGAGTTCTGCCTCCAATGCTTCCAGAACACACACAAATCTTGCCAAAATCTCCGAATCTTTTCAATACTATTCCATTGACTATATACATGTTTTTAACAAATTAGCTCCTATAAAAGGTTCGTGTGGACCTTGTCGAATATGAATACCATGAACTTCGTTAATAAATATGAAAATATTAAATACGTTTCAACTGTGCAGATAAAGGAAAAAACCCGGTGGCACCCAACACTGGGTGCCATGGTCCCTTGCGCCAGTCATAGTGGCACCCACCGGTGGGCGCCACGGTCGTCAAAGGGTTAAGAGGCTTGAGAGGCTGGAAACCATCTTTGTAATCCAGCGCGGTCTCTATGCACTCTGTCGTGTGGTGTAAGAGACGAAAAGCACGAAAGGGCGCTGGCACCTCAACTACATTTTCACCCAGAACTCTATCGATATACCTATACATCGATATACCGATGGCGATTAATCTTTTTGACATTAAAAATTCACTTCATAGGTCGACAATTTACTCGACAAACGTTCAAAATAAGAACACCTTTAAAATTTCTTGATCCTAGAAAACGCTCTCCGATGAAAATGTAGTTGGGGGTGCCAGGCCCTTTTGTGTTCTGCGTCTCTTCATTTCTTACCCCATCTAAGCATCTCACCCATACCGGAGCTCCACCCCTTCTAAAAACTAGGAAGAAGCTCCGGGTTGGGTGAAACAATTGGATGTTCAATTCTTACCCCGTCCCAGCTTTTTGCACAAGATAATCATCGCTCCCACCCCGGAGCTCCTCTCCTAACCTTTAAAAGGGGAGGAAACCATCTCTGCACCCTATGCGGTCTCTATGCATTGTGCCGCCCGGTGTCAGAGACGTAGAGCACAAGAGGGCGCTGGCACCCCCAACTACACTTTCACCCGCTCTCCTTCTGTAAACATGCCTAATTGATTATTTTTACTTGTCTTTTATAAGTTCCTATTTCTCCCATTATGATTGAGCATGATGTTATAGCGCGTCTCGTCTACTGCACCCCGCCCTTCACGCCCTTCATTATACTGACGCGTGAATCGCACCACACCCGAAAACGTACATGATCTGCCGCGTGGTGCGTCGCGTGCTGCATACACGAAGAGCTCTGATGGGGTCACGCATGAAACTTTTTGCCATCCATGCAATATATTTTTATTTCACAGAAGTACTCTCAAAAGAACATATAAAAATCATGGTTAAGAAGAAGAATATATGATACGTTCTCTCAGTTTTTGGATTGTTTACTGGAACATTGTAGCAATTGATTGAACAAAAGGTCTAACCCACATAAACGATGTAATGATTGATACAGCCTGCGGGCGATTTGAAGAATCCTCACAAAAATTCAACTTGAGTTCGACGGTTACCGTAGAATGCATTATGTTCGTAAGCAAAATCAGCCAAAACAAATTGGAATTGCATAGAAAAGATATTTCCATACTAGATCATCCGCATTTTGAAAACGGTTAAGAAAACAGGAAAAATAATTATTTCTTGAAATTAATTATGAAATATTGCTCAACAATATTGATTAAAATTGTTATTTCATAATTCCGGATGATGGAAAACATTTGTAATACACGGCTTTTCTTTTTTTTTTTTTTGGAGATTTCGATAACGTAGGGAAGTGTTGATCTGCCGTAATTTTATTGGAAATCGTATCAGATATCAAATCAACAAAAAATATCGAAAAAAGCGTTGAACATACCCGAAAGCCTACAACATTCGAGTTTTCTCCATGTTTTTGGAATATCCGTGGAGATAAGTACAGCCGGAGAGTTAAAGTTTAGTGATTGTTCCGATGAAGCAGTGGGACCGTCAGAAAAGAAATAGATTGAGTGGAAAGAATAGGAGAATACGTGGCCTCCAATCGTCGTGTAGCAGATCACCCATAAGTGATTACTGCAGATCACTCCACCCTTACTACGGTAGTTGTCGAGCTCACCATCAGCTTTACGAGAATTCTTCGATTCTTTCATTTCCAACATCGATCCCATTATCACTAAGCAGTGGACAATCTAATTTCATTTTATATACTTAATTAGAATGTGTTAATCACTGTCTGTTTGCTTGTGTAATCAAGTTCTTACGAAAATTCTGCAACTTGGTAGTAAGTCTTGAAACAGAAATCTGAAAAAACAAATCATTTTCTCATCGATATGACCGTGAGCTTCTCCAAAAGTTCATGACCTATGAGTGGTATGCTGATTTGAGCTTCTTAATTTACTCCCTTCATAAGCGATTAAATAGATCTCCAGTAATTAAATAAATGGTAAACAATCAGAAACAATGACAAACAAAAACGATTATCAGGATATTGGGAAGTAGGGCGAACATCCGTTTTCTCGTCCATCGAAAGTAGGTCACCCCGCCCACTTCGCGCGCTGCGCAAGCCACTGAGACCTCGCGATGACCTCACAGTACCATCAAGTGTGAGTGGAACGAATGATTTGCATTTGGCCGTATTATTTTCTCGCTGGCTGACTGCCATGGGTGCGCTTCGTTGCGCGCGTCCGTCAAAATTAGGTCACGTCGCAGCCGTCGCGCGCGGCGTATCAGCTCGCGATCTTTGACAAACGTCGCAGTTGTCAGTGGGGCATACGAATTGCGCTCGGTCCACGGCAGTCAGCCAAAGGGCAGATAACATGGACGGATGCAAATCGTTTGCTCCACTGACACTTGGTGGTACTGTAATGTCATCTTGAGACCTCAGTGGGCTGCGCCGCGCGCGAAGTAGGCGGGGTGACCTGCTTTCGACGGATGCGCGCAACGGACGTTCTCCGACTGCCATGGGCCAAGCGCAAATCGTATATTCCACTGACAACTGCGACGTCCGTCAAGTATCGCGGGCTGACCCGCCGCATGCGACGGCTGCGGCGCGACCTGGTTTCGATAGACGCGCGCAACGAAGCGCACCCGAAAAGTAGGCGGAGGTGGTGTAGTTGCAAGCAGTGCACTACCTCAAGGGCATGGTCACGGGTCCGAATCCCGGATCGATATCCGCCTGAGCAAACCAGGCCTTCCATGTCCGGGGTCCGGGGTCGGTTAGTTGGTACCAGACATGTCCAGTAGAATAAAAGTACTTACCTGTACATCGGCCGGCAACCGCAACCCATTGTATAGGCCATGTGCGCATTCAATACGCCATTACCATTCTGCATGGAGGTCGAACGTGGGGGCGCATCCCTCAAACGGAATTGATCAACGCCCAAAGACATTAGACTGAAGTTTAAAAGACTTCCAGACCGAAATCTAGAAGACTTTTAAACTTCAATTCAAACTTTAAACATAAGTTTTTTTGTTCTTCTGTAGACTTTTTGTGAGAAACTGATTGATGATGTAAAATAGAATACAATGTCTTCATTGTTGATGTAGAAACTACCAAAAGGATTAGAAATGGGATAGCAGTGATTAAAACTAATATCACCTCCTGATAATTACTGATTAGTGAACAAAATGGAAGTCGTTGCGTAGTAAGAAAAAAGATTACAGAAGGGAGAGGCAATAAGTGCAAGCAAATGTAGATGACGAAAAGTGAGGTTTGAATCTTTCTCGTGATTTTTAAACCCTATAAAAGGCAGTGTACAAGTGAGAACCATCAAAAATGATTTCAAATATCAACAATTCGAAAATAAGAGCTATCTCAATAATAACTGGATAATTCAGGACCTAAAATCGCTTCGCGCTGTTCAACGTCGTGATTACGATTTCATTACCAGTAATCGTAATTGTCTACGAAAAACACCGGTGTTGCTGCGCGTACGAGCCGAAGAACACGGATTCATCATCGATGTTTATAAAGCCCAATTTTCGTTAGACAAACCCAGGTAAAATGGCCCCTCTGAACGATGTCATTCAGGTAAATCTTCAGAGTTCCCTAGCATCATCTGCGATGCTTTTTATGTGCTATCATGGTACTGACCTTAAGGGTATAATCGACCGAATTAGGAGAGCATAAAGGTTTCGGCTGAAAAACCTATAATCCAGCACAAAGCACACCCTGAGACCGAACAATGGACCCCATAGGAAGAAGAGACACGGCTGGCCCGGGCTAGACTCGTTCCGAAATTAATTTATTGATCAATATAATCAATGCGATAACGGCGACGAAGGAAAAAGAAAGGGAATAATACGAAGACCGAGTTCCGGTTTTTAGATAATGCCCATTCCAGCCCCTATTCTGACTCATCTCATTTTCTAAGCAACAGCTTCGGGAAAAGAAAAATGTAGCAATGGATCATCACCCAGCAGAACATTTGCGACGAGATTCTAACTCGCGTTACTGGATTTAAAGCCCAGTGTGTTTACAGGTACACTACGGTACCAATGATGCCCTCTTCCCCATTTCACTCTACACAAATGCGATGGTGAAGCTTCATGTACATCTAGAGCCTGGGTCACTGATTTCTCACCTGCGCAATGTTTACTGAGTCACTAGCACTGTCTTCGTTTGAACACCCTCTCATAGACTCGCAACCAAGGGGTTTTGTGATGACTTTAGAAAATCATGTTTGTACACTTATTTTCACAAAAAAATACATCATGAACTGCGGCGACAATCAATAGTTGGCAAAGCGAAATAGAAAATATCTAATTCGCAGTACTTACTATGTTGTAGCTTCCTGATCATTGCTCAGTTAAATTTATTTTACTATATAATAGCTTATAGTAGCCGCACACAATCAATAGGTTCAAGGCTTACAGCATCGAAGTACCTAGTCGATCATTACTTTAGGGATGCACAATGTATTGTATTACTTCGAGAGAACAAGAACTTTATGTATGCTCTTGAGCAGTGAGATGCCTTGCATTTTTGATCGATCGATCCCAAACATCTGGGGAACGTTCGTTGCGCGCGCCCATCGAAAGTAGGTGCGTTTGTCCGGTTTTCTTGTCTTCAAGCTGACTGCTGTAGGCCAAACGCAAATCGTATGCCCCACTGACGATTGCGACGTTCGTCAAGTATCGCGAGCTTACCCGCCGCATGCGACGCTTGCGGCGTGAGTTAGTTTCGACGGACGCGCGCAACGAAGCGCACCCCCAGACATCCACTCAGAATTAATGAAGGAAAGAGTGCGTTTGTAGAGATGAGTATCAGACTGGGAGGGAACTGTGGAGTGGGGAAGAATTTAGAAGATACTGAAACCATACGCCTTCGCCTTTTTAGTGATGTGCAAGGAAATTACCACTGGTTACTTTACTAAGACTTCATGTTCGTTTCAGACGATTCGCCATAATTTCGTCCGAATTGGACGAGTTTTATCGCTTCAAGGAACTCACTGTAAAGGGATTGATACTCGAAAGTGCTCCTGATGGGGATACACCGCTACTTTTTCACGCGGCGCGCTTACTGCCACTCGATACCGAATGTTCACTGACTTTCAAATCACTATGCTTCTCTGATTCCGACATTACTCAAGTATTAATCATGCTGACTCAGATTCGATCAATACCTCTTTTGAAGGTGAGTGTGAGCGCATCATTGATTGCTTACAGTTTCTATAGCAGACAACTGGTTCAGTGCAAAATCTTAGCTACGTAGTAAGTAAATAACTGAATGAAGTAAGTAAATAACTGAATGAGCCCTTGAAGATTACTCTATCACTTTTATTTCAGCTCAAGGAGTGTGTCTTTCCGGCTGATTCTGTGGCTCGTTTCTTTCTTCAGTCTCAGATCACTTCACGTTCTTTCCGAATTGAAGACGATCAAAGCTTTACAAAGGGGTAAGATAACTGCCACAAATGAGCCTTATAAAATGACTATGTGGAATACCTGCTGATTTCAGCAGCGAAGGTACATCAAACGATATTGGTGACGAGTTGCTGAGCGTATTTCTATCGTCGGATTGTGATGCTATCAGCCTTTCCACCGTTGAAGAAGTATCCTTCCGTGGATTAACGAATTTCATCCGGGTATGATCTCTGTGATGAAAATGTTCGAAAATCCAGTAAAAGTAAAGGTAACACAAGTAAAAGAAACTGAAAAGAAAATAAAAAGGGAAAGGAAAAACTTATAGGAGCGGTCCACTTCTTTTCAAGTCATATTTCGGAACAGACAGCTTATTGCTAGAGTATACAACTGGCTGGGAGGCTGTAAAAGAGATTCTGATCGAATGAGTTCCCACTGGATCAGTTCGAGTTGAATTTTGACAAGTAATTGTGGGAAAGGCTTATGGTGCAGCGATATTGGGGTCCGGAATCTCCTCCCCGAAAACGGCGTCGCGCACGCCGCACCCGCCGCGTACCGCAGGATTGCGATGGAAGATTGGAGCGCGCAATTTGTGAGGTTTGTGAGGTTCCTTTAATTATTTGAATTGGCTGGCCGCTCTCTCCAATTCCAGTGCGGTCTTTATTGGCGCTAATACAGGATTCTAATTAAACAAGTCTAATAAACATAAAAACAAGGAAAAGAAAGCGAAAAAAGATCAAAATTAATGAAAAAGAGAGGCAACCAACGATAAATATTGCGTCATATCGATTGGCGGGGAGGC